TTGGGGAAGGCCTGTGTGCCCCAAAACAGAGGTCTGCAAAGATATCTGGGTCTAGAAAGCTCCTGATTACATGATTAAAGAGAAGCAGGGTTATGATTCTAACTTCACACCTGTCTTCTTGATACCATTGCTGTGACTTTCTCAGATCAAGTTGAAGTCTGACAGGGGAGCTGCCTGCAGTGGCGGAGGAAGGGGGGTGCGGGCTGCCCCGGGTGTCATCACTGTCAGGAGCTTAGCCTACACTTGAGTAGGACCCTGGCAGAGACACATGCCTGACTGCCATGTTCCTGCCCGCCTGGTCGATCATTCAGGAGCTTCGAAAGATTTCTTCAGCCAGAACATCACAGCGACCGATGCCAACAGACACTGGCACACTTAGGGATCCACAGAGTCTTCGCAGTTGTGTAACAGACCTCAGCAACTCGGCATTTTGGCTAATCTACTTTATTTACATATAAACACACACAGAGCACTGCAGCATGGCTCCCTCTCTCTCTAGCATCAGACAGCAAAGAGAAAGAACAAAAGACAATAGTCCCACTTCACGGAACACAGTAACACAAACATCCTGTCTCCGTCACTTCCCACTCTATGGAGTCAAAACATATACCGTCATGTGAAAGACAACAATCTCATGACTGCAATCATGGAGCAGGAATTCTAACAATCACCGAGTGGGTGTGGGTGTGACAAAATGAGTTTTTAAAAAATTGGGCTCACGAAACCTTTTAGGAGTGACATGGTGGCTTAGGTTCTGCGCTGCCCGAAATGGCAGCATGGGACTTGCACTGGCCTGCCTACTGCCTCTCCCTCAGCCGCCCTACAGCTGAGGGGGAGGTAGTGGAGAGGCTCCAAGCATCAGAGACGCTTGCCCCACCCCCATGGGCACAAATTGCCCCACCCTTGGCTGCAGAACATGCCCCCGCACCAGGCACCCGAGCGGCTAGCTACGCCGCTGGCTGGCTGCACAAGTAGAGGCTCCTCTAGGATATGGGAGCTCTGACAAATTGGGGCTCTTGGTCACATGAAGGCACTTCTATGAATACAGCCTGTTTTGACATGCAGAGGGCCGGGAGGCCAGCTGGCAAGCCCAGCTCGGACGTCTCCATTCATCGGCCTGTGCTCCAACGTAAATCAGCGACCCGAACTTCAAAAGCCAGGGCACGCAATTAGCAGAGTGTACTGCGCAAACAAGGGACATGGGTGGAGCTGTGGGTTAAACCACAGAGCCTAGGACTTGCCGATCAGAAGGTTGGCGGTTCGAATCCCCACGATGGGGTGAGCTCCCGTTGCTCGGTCCCTGTTCCTGCCAACCTAGCAGTTCAAAAGCACGTCAAAGTGCAAGTAGATAAATAGGTACCGCTCCGGTGGGAAGGTAAATGGTGTTTCCGTGCGCTGCTCTGGTTCGCCAGAAGCAGCTTAGTCATGCTGGCCACATGACCCAGAAGCTGTACACCGGCTCCCTCGGCCAATAAAGCGAGATGAGCGCCGCAACCCCAGAGTCGGTCACGACTGGACCTAATGGTCAGGGGTCCCTTTACCTTACTGCGCACACAGAAGTAGGCGTGAGACATGTGAAGTCATGCTACAGCTACAGATTTAATAAACATAAATCAGAACAAAGAAACATGTTTTTTCTCTCTCATGTCGTCTTGGAGAGAACAGCAAAAGGAAAAGCTATACGCAAAGGAAAAGCTATCCAGCATACTGTGCTGGAATGTAAACAGACATGTGACATGCAACAATCTCATGCCTGTTCCTTAAGGTGGAATGGAAATGTCAACAGCGAGCACACCTGTCACACCTTCAGTCAATACACAGATATTGAGAGATGGAGCCAAGAAAATAAGAGCAATGTCAGAGTGGAGCCCTCCTCCCCTTTAATCGTGTGTACTCCCTTCATGTAACACATTTGTGCCATGATGTTCGTGGTTTTTCTACCCGTCTTCTGATTCCTGCACACCCTGTGGAGCAGATTGTGGGGGTTCACACAGAGCTGCGGTGGGGGAGATGCCCCATTACAGGAGCAGACACCTTCCTGCGCTACATTTGCACTTCACCTGAGCTGTCAGAATCATTTCAGCTATGTTTCTGGTTGGGAGTCTTATAATAAACTTTGAAAAAGTTTTAGATGGAGACGGATGCAAGGCTCCCCCTCCCAAATTAAAAAAAGGGAGGAAATGGAGATTAGGACCAGATTTCTGGATTAGGATCAGAACTCAAATGTATTCTAAGTTAGCTATACATTTAAAATGTATTGGGAAAGTGAATCACAATTCTTTGCATGTTTACTCTGAAGGAAGTTCCATTAAATGTCTGAATAACATGTCTAGAATTGTGATCTAAGACTTCAGTTGTTTGCGTGTACATTACCCCTAGGAACAAGCCCTATGGAACTCAGTGAGACTTAGGTAAAGGTAAAGGGACCCCTGACCATTAGGTCCAGTCGTGACCGACTCTGGGGTTGCGGCGCTCATCTCGCTTTCCTAGCCGAGGGAGCCAGTGTACAGCTTCTGGATCATGTGGCTAGCATGAGTAAGCCGCTTCTGGCAAACCAGAGCAGCACACGGAAACGCCGTTTACCTTCCCGCTGGAGCAGTACCTATTTATCTACTTGCACTTTGACATGCTTTCGAACTGCTAGGTTGGCAGGAGCAGGGACCGAGCAATGGGAGCTCACCCCGTCGCGGGGATTCGAACCGCCGACCTTCTGATCGGCAAGTCCTAGGCTCTATGGTTTAACCTGCAGCGCCACCCGCGTCCCTTGTGAGACTTACTTCCCAGTAAATATTCATGGATTCGACTATAGAAGTAACGTTTGAAAAGTACACAGTACCTATAAAACCACAATAGTCTAGAGAGTGTAAATCAGCTCTTTTCATCTGTCTTGGTAAATGCCTTGCTTCTTTAATCATTATGCGGTTTCACGATGCCTTTTTTTAAAAAACACCCTAAAACTGCAAAATCACACTTTGCTATTCCACTACCAGAGTTCTGATTTTCTGCCATTATGCACTGGTTCAATTAGATCCTTACTACATGTAATGACTCTCTCTGTCTCTGCAGCAAAGAAGCACCAGGGAGACTAAGCATAGATTCCATATCTTTCAGATTTGCTTCTCAATTTACTGATTTGTTGAGCAGGGTACAGTTGAGCACTTAACTTTTTGGAATTAGACTTGGCGAGGAAGGGAACGTGTCTCTTGCAGGAGAAGCAATCAGACATCTTTGAATGTGTCATAAATGGAATGGCTCCATCACTTTTCAGGGAATATATGAAGCTTGTCTTGGGATGTAGCTCATTCTTTCTATACCTGAGAATGCGATCCAAAATGAGCTTCGGGAGTAAAACAGATTGAGGGAATCGGATTTTGAAATCTGTGTGTACTGTTTCAGAACTTCTTATTTCTCTGGACTGGATGTCAAGAGTACTCAAATTCCCTCCTCCGCCAGGGCCGCATGACTGATAGAAACCAACATCACAGACTTTGCAGTCTCCACACCTCACTTTCTGCCATAAGTCCTGAGTGAAAAACCTTCTGCTTCTATCAGCAAGATTCCCTGCTAGCCGGTTATTAAAGCCAGCAGGAATTCTGCTAATTTCCACCTGGGCAATAGCATTGGTCTAAAAGTAGGGGGAGGTTACAAATCTCCCAACACTATATTTTGTCATGGTGTGACTTGTGAGCACTGCTGTGATCCCAAACAACATAGGTAGCACTCCGTAAAATGTCTATGAACCGGCACTTGTGCATACTTCTTGGAAGACCTTTAATTTTTGAAGAATATCCCAGTTTTGGTTTTTATCGCACTACTAGTATCTCAGCCAAAGCATCCATGATAGATGGCCATCCAACGTCTGCTTAAAAACCTACAAAAAAGGAGAGTCTACCACCTTCTGAGGAGTCAGCCCCCCTGCTGAATAGTTCTTACTGTCAGTTCTTAACTCAGAAATCTGTAAAGCTATAATCATCTTGCTTCATTGAGCACCAAAGCTTGCTCTCTGTTTCTTTGTCCTGTATATTCTTTTGAGGGGGTGCTCCCGTTGTTCTACACAGGGTCCCAAAGGCCAGAAAGAGACCTGGTGGGCTGGATTCTGCCCCTGGCCTGAGGTTCCCCATCTCTTGACTAAGAAGATATCTTAGTGCCAGAAAAACAAAGAAGCTGTGTATCGCTGGAGCAGCTGTCATGTACAATATAGAGGAGTTATTTTAGGTGAGGCAATCTAAGCTATGATCCCAAGATTATTTTATTATTATCTTCGAGTTTAGTTTATTTTTTTTATGAAATCCACAGTATCTTTCCTGTCTAAACCATTTTAAGGGAGCCATCTTTTAAGAAGACTGGTTTATGCGGGTGCTACAAATACATCGAGGAAATGTGATGGTCGAGAAGGGAAAGAGGGGGGGACAGGAACGTAATGTGAGAAGAACATTTTTCACAGCAACCAGCCAGTTGCCGATGGGAAGTCTGTATGCAGGGAATGAGGGCAATAGGTCTGTCCTGCTGCTGTTCCCGGCAACTGAAATGCTGTCTCCTAACTAGCCTCTGCTTTCTGCCATTGGATGGCATCCAACAAGCTGTGCTCAGAGTAGACACATTAGAGTTAATGGACCTAACATGGTCATGTTCACTGATTTCATTGGGTCCACACAGAAGTAAAACATGGATGAATACCACCCAGTGACATCTTTTTCCTCCACGAATTTTCTCCAACTCCCACTTAGAGTCATCTAAGCTAATGGCACTCAACACAATTGGTGGCAACAAAATTCACAGGTTAAGTATGGAAGTCCGTCCATAATCTCATGCAAGTCAGCATCCTTATATGACCCTAGGGGAGAAATAAAGCCTCCCATTTGCACTACCCCATGAATTTGTTTTCATAAACCTTGATCAAAAAGTGTTCACCCTTCTTTGGGACATTTTCACAGAATTGTAGAGTCGGAAGGGGCCACAAGGGTCATCTAGTCCAATGCCCTGCAATGGGGGCGATCTTGTGCCCAATGTGGGGCTCAAACCCACAACCCTGAAATCAGGAGTCTCGTGCTCTACTAACTGAGCTATCCCTGGCCATTATACACAAATGTTAAATTTCAAGCAAAGTTTGTACCTTGGTGCAAGTGGCAATGCCAATAGGCTTGCCATGCAGATACAGTCATACCTCATGTTACGTTCACTTCATGTTACGTTCTTTCAGGTTACGTCCCGCGGTGACCCGGAAGTACCGGAAAGGGTTACTTCCTGGTTTTGCCACTCGCGCATGCACAGAAGCGCAAAATGACGTCACGCGCATGCGCAGAAGTGGTGAAAAGCAACCAACGCATGTGCAGACGCGCCACTGCGGGTTGCGCTCTTTTCATGTTGCAAACGGACCTCCAGAATGGATCCTGTTCACAACCAGAGGTACCACTGTATCAATAAATGTTTCTGGCCATTTTATGGTTAGGGATTTGACAAGAGAGCCTCAACGTTCCTCAGTTTAATGGCTGTGGGATTATTTCCAAAGTGGGAAATCTACCTGCATGGGTGGAATCTCAGGTCTCTACTCTCTGTTTATGTGGAAGAAACCAGAAGTCTTGTGGTTGAGAAACAGGGACAGTGGGAGAGAACAATTCTAGTTTCTAGCTAAAGCTGAAGTACAGTGCTGGGACCCTGCTGCCTGTGGCAAGAGTGCCTGTTTTCATGTGTATTTGCAATAAAGCAAATATTATTAAGATGTCATAAGTCTCCAGTCCTCTCTCTCCCTCTCAGTCAAAGCTAGCTAAACCTGATAGCGCTCCTCCGAGTACTTATTTCTGGGGAAAGTGGGTAACACATAAATATGCCTTTCTGGATAACGTCTCTGATATACCATTGCAATTCTTTATTTTTATCAGTCCACCAGATGCTGTCCAGAATATAGAGAGGCATGGCTCTTGCCTGGCATGCTTTCAGATCCACTGCTGACAGATAAAGAGAGAGATCCTTGGTTGGCAGTATCAACCAGGATAGCAGAGATTAAGGTGACAGCAGAGAAGCAAGCAGTGTGCAGTTAAGGTGGTCCATTTAACAAACGGCTTAAGTAATTCTGGCATGGCGTAAGCCAGAGTTGGATGGTGGTACACAACCTAAATGCCTCCTTATAACAAGTCCCAGCTTCAGGACTGACTAGACAGACCCAAATCTTAACAGGAAGGAGCAGCATAATGATGGCAAAGGAAACAAAGGGAGAATCAAGGGAATAACAAGCAGCTAAGGGAAGAAATTGAATCCAATTAAGCCGAGCTAAATAGAATTTCAAATAGATTTTTCAAACCTGATTTTCACTTATCTCACCCAATAACCCTTGTTGGGATATGTAAAGGATCTGGTTTCCCCACAAATATGTCCAGTTATTAAGTCTTTTATTGACAACGGCCAGTATCATTGTAACCAAGCACTGGAAAATTGCTCCAAGGCCATTGTTGTGTGTTCATCTGTAGCTTCTTTCAAAGGTTCCCCATTCCTGAGTTAGATGGTGGAAAGCATCTTAGAACATCTTCACGTGCGTCATGGGCTAAGGCAGAAGTCTCCCAACACTATCTTGTGGAAGCAGCCCATCAGGTAGGAAGGAAACCTGTGAAATTTAATGGCTCCAATTCCAAACCCAGAGTGTCCATCCAACAGGACATCATGGTTGATAGTATCCAAGGGGACTGAGAGGTCCATGAGAAGCAGCAGGCTTGTATTTCTCCTATCCCTTTCCTGGAGGAGGTCACTATAATGGTCTGATATAGCTTTTACTTATATACTTTCTATATCAAAATCAGGTCTGAAATCTGATTGAAATAGATGTAGTCGATGGTCCTTTCCAAGAATACTGAGAACCCCAAAACTGAAAGTTGGCAGTAATCTTATTGCACAACCCAACCAACCAACAAAAAACAGAAAGAATGCTTAACCTGAATTATACATGTTTCTGTTTATTACAGATGTGTAAAAGCGATACACTTGCCTTGGATTAACTGAAAAATTACTCAATTTATTTCCTCTAAAATCAAGAACAACTGAATTTTGCTAAGCCATTTTGACTTCCCCTCACACCAGCCCTCCTCATTTTCAAAAGTCTGCCATACAAGTCCCCCCTTCTCCAAAATACCCTCCATTTCCCTTACTTGGCCAGCAGTCATGGATAGGGCAAGAGCAAGCGAAGAATAATTATCTGGGTCATATTTTGATCTAAGTTGGAGAAGAATACAATGGTACCTTGGTTCTCAAACACCTTGGTACTCAAACAACTTGGAACCCAAACACTGCAAACCTGGAAGTAAGTGTTCCGGTTTGTGAAATTTTTTGGAAGCTGAACGTGCTTCGTTTTGAGTGTTACACTTCCATTTTGAGCGCCACACTTCTGTTTTGAGTGTTACGCCGAGATCTGTCTGTTTTTGCTCTTTATTTTGCATTTTTGTTTTTGTGGCTCTTTTTTTGTTTTTGTGACAGTGTGGAACCCAGTACAGCTACTGATTGATTGATTTGGTGACTGCAGTACATTGTTCATTGCTTTTCATTTTATAGTCTCGTTAGATAGTAAAATTCATGTTAAATTGCTGTTTTAGGGGTTGTTTTTAAAAGTCTGGAACAGACAGTGGCGGAGCTTCATGCTCCAGTACCAGGGGTGGACAGCAGGCGGGGGTGCGGCTGGCGTGCGTCCCGGGGGTGTGACGCATGTCCTGGGGGCGTGGGGTCCAGCGTGGGGGGGCAGCCACAATAGCACCCCAGCGGGATCATGGTGCCGGGGTCAGTGTGCTCCCCCCACCCCCCTCTTCCTCTGAAATTGGGAACAGATTAATCCATTTTGCATTACTTTCTATGGGAAAGCATGCTTTGGTTTTGGAACAAACTTCCGGAATGGATTAAGTTTGAGAACTAAGGTACCACTGTACAGTGATTTTAAAGATTTGCTCCTCATTTGAAGTGGCCTTTTATGCAAGAACAAGATTCTCCTCTGACCCCGTCTTGGGAAAACACCGCCAGCTACTATATTTGTACTATTGCTTTCTTAGAATGTTAGAAACTATTTAGTACTTTGAGTGTTGGGAAAAACAGTACTTCTGGGAATTATGTTTCAGAATGCATCACAGATGTGAGCTGCCTTGTGTGGGTTCTTTTTCCATATATCTCTGCTGGGTTTGAAAGTGTCTCAAGCTTTCATATAAGTTATAATTTATTAAATATTTGTTCTTGCAAGGGGTTTGATTTATTTCTGCAGATATGGCAAGCTGCAGATTCATGGAGTAATAGAAATATTGCCTCTGTAAAGTTTTCGTATTTGTTTGGCAAACTTCTCTCTGCAAATGTCAGGTAGGACCAAGAACGGCTGCGTTTCAACTCAGAAGACTGCATATATGTTCAGCAGCAGCAAACTTGCGGGAGTGTTTGATTAAATGGAATATAGCACCACCTCTGCTTCAGCTAGTGGAGGCATGAATCTGCGATTATTTGGAGAAGGCACCCAATATCTGACATCCACTAGTTGCTGCTTGACTGAGCAACTGCCATTGAGGGGGGGAAAGATGGGTGGAATCCATTTTGGAAATCAGCAAAGCTAGCTTGTCTTATTTGAGATGCACATTTCTTTTTCTGTCACCAAGGCAACCAAGTCGTAGGCCTTCTCTTTTCTACTACATAGATAATGCCTGGCCATTTACCATTAATTGCCCTTTTCATAGTTCTTGGTCAGACTTGTCCACAGAGGTAGAAATCTTAAATTAGATCTCTCCCCTCCCCCCTCTGACAACCATTAATTTGAATTAGCATGAACAATGGGAGAGCTCTCCCGGACAGGGCTTCCCTTAACTAGCTTAAAAAAACAACAACCAAACTCTTGCGGTCTGTGCTGTCCTAGCTACAAGCAGGAGCCCATGGGAGTTATAGGAGTTCAGGCATTTGGGGACAGACATTGTGCAATGACAACTAACTCTTCTTCCCAGGCACTGTCACTTTGCCTGGAGACTGTCTGGCCTGGAGACAGAATTCTTTCATCTCACAAGTAGTTCTTTTCTGTATTGGCAAACAGGATCTCTGAACCCTGACATCCTTTTGGGCAATGTGTCATGGTCCGGTCTACGGGCGATTGAAGTCCTGGCTGAGGACGTCGGGACCGGGGGCAAGATGGTGGGGTGGGAGCAGGAATGAGAGTCCAGAAGCCAGGGGTCCGAGGATCAGGAAGCAGGGAGTCACAAAATCAAGGGTCCAGGGGTTGAGAAGCAAGGAGTCACACAGTCAAGGGTCCGAGGGTCAAGAAGCAAGGAGTCAAGAAGCCAAGGTCCGAGGATCAGGAAGCAAGAAGCCAAACGCAGCGAGGCAGGAAACGTGTTGCTGTGGCAAAGAGCCGAAGGGAAATGCTGACCTTATATCCCTTCCCGGCTCTTGCCACCAGGTGCAGTGAGTTACCAAGCGTCCTCACCTGTGCAGCCGTGCTTTGCCTCTCCAGAACAAACTTAGGAAGGCCCCTGTCCTACGAAGCCCTACTGGTCACAATGGCCTGGCTCCTGCACACACTCCTGATACAAGGTTGTCTCAGTATAGGTGCAGACTTTGGTAATATGGTGCCCTGTGCAAGGTCAAAATTTGAGCCCCCTCTGCCAGCCCTTGCACCGCCTTCCTAAAGCCCAGTAAGTGGGGTGCCAGGCTTTGGACAGAGGTGTGAGACTCTTGTAGCATCCTAGAGCCCTCCTGCCTCCTTCCCAAAGCTGGGAAAGCACTTATTAGGCTTTGGGAAGGAAGTGGGAAGTGTCCCCTTGGCATCTGCACCCTGTGTGGAGGAACCAGTTGTGGTGAAGAAAAAGGAGGAGGAGGAGGAGGAGGAGGAGGAGGAGTTTGGATTTGATATCCCGCTTTATCACTACCCAAAGCAGTCTCAAAGTGGCTAACATTTTCCTTTCCCTTCCTCCCCCACAACAAACACTCCGTGAGGTGAGTGAGGTTGAGAGGCTTCAGAGAAGTGTGACTGGCCCAAGGTCAACCAGCAGCTGCATGTGAAGGAGTGGAGACGCGAACCCGGTTCACCAGATTACAAATCTACCGCTCTTAACCACTACACCACGCTGGTGC